TTCATATTTAGTAACTAGTTGTTGAGCTTGCTGAAGCTAATAAAAGTTATGACCATTATTTGATTAATCATTTACACTTAAAATGTCTAGCATTGCATGCTTATAATTTTTCCGGCATAATATGTTCTTGATTAATCTTTACATAAAAAAATTAGCTTTATTTTTATGTTGTAATTTTACTTACAAGAACCATTTGTGATCTCAATTCTATTTATAAGCTAGTGTTGCATGCATTTGTGTCATGATCTTCTAGTGTTCAACCTTAAGTTTACACTTACCGTAGACTCGACCATTAGTGATACTCTTATGACCATTTAAAGGGAACTACAAACTTAGGTGATCATTATGTTTAAAAGAATTAAGCCCTAAGAGAGTTTTCAAATAAGGCACTCAAAGACCAATAAATATCACAAGAATAATCATTATAAACAAGTTCACTCTGAGCGTTACCAGTATGATTATCATTTACGTTACTCTAAACATGATGACTTTGATGAGTGAGTCTTGAGTCCTAATAAAATAGAAGCCTCCACTTTTGAAGGTTGTCATAACCCTTAGATATTTGATATGTGGATTTATGATATAGATAAATTCTTTGAGTGACATAACTTGTCTGATAATAGGAAAGTTAAATTTGCTAAGATGATGCTTATTGGTGAAGCCAAAATTTATTAAAGAGATGTTAAGGATTGTTTAAAGATGAGAGATAAACCTCTTATAACTGATTGGATCAAAATGAAACAAAAACTTCAGGAGAAGTATCTACCTCAATCTTATAGGAATAAACTTTTATACCAATAGAACAATCTAAGACAAGGGAATAAGTTTATCAAGAGTATATTAAGCAGTTTAATTGACATGACCAAAAGATTAATGTCTTCTCCCATATGTAGAAGTGTCGAAGTAATAAATAACCCGAAAAGACCGGGATCGAAATTGTATAAATTATAGATAACAATAACACAACAACAATAATAACAATAAGAATAAGAATAACAACAACAACAACAATAATAATAGTAGTAGTAATAGTAATAGTAGTAATGGTAGTGGTGGTGATGGTGGTAGTAGTAGTAGTAATGAAGAAGAAGAAGAAGTTGATTAGAACTTTAAAATGGAAGATTAATGTAATGATTAAACAATGATAACAATAAATGTTAAGGTTAAAGGATCCATTAATAATATGTCAAACAAATATAGTATAAACTCTTATTATTCATTTGGAAACCACACTTAAAGGAGGTTCTAATCAGATTATAAATTGTTAACATGATTACATTAGTTATCTTATTCGATTAATGCTAATACTTGTAAATCTCATCAGGCATTCATCATTATAACATATATTGATTTGATGACTAATTGATGAGTGGATGACTAACTATTGACTTGATAACAATTCTTATCTTCTCTTGTCTACCTAAAACGTCATTGATAACGTCAGAATTAGAACCATTTAAAACATGAAAATTATAGGAAATTATCTCAGCTTTTCAGGAAAAAATATGGAGATCACTTGGACTTCTAGAACTCCAAATATGGGCCAAACACTAAGCAGTGTTCGGGCTGCAGGACATATTCAGACTTCTTTATTATTGCTACAATTTGAACTTGAAAATAACCTTTTTAAATCTTGAGCTATATGAAAGTTGTAGGCATGTGTCTTACCTTTCCATCCATATAAAGTAGACCTAAATCAGAAATCTATAGCTCCAGATATGACCCAATTACCGAATAGTATTCCGGTTTGGACTGCACCAGTATCTTTTTTCTAAGTTTGACCATCTCTTTGTCCTTTCAATTTAAGTTCTTAAACTCATCAATCAATCCTTTTATTTATGTGATAGGTTTGCATTTAAAATGAACATTTGTCACAAATTAAAGGTATCTTATATTATTAGATATGTTATTATAAAACATGTTTTAGTTAAGGAGTTGTTAATACTTCAAATGCAAAATGATGATATAAAACTTTGATAAACATACACTTTTAAGTACTAATTATTAATGATTACATGATTAGATGCACCATGAGAGATAATAAAGCCATAACTTTGCGTAGATTTTATAAAGGCTTGAATGATGATTTTAGGAGAGAAGTTGTATTTCAAGGTGTATCTACCTTTGACCAAGCTTATACCTTAGTTAAAGACTACAAGTTGATCATGAAGAATCAATGGATAAATCGTCAAGACCCTTATAGTATCCATACTAGGTCCCAATTTAGAAGTAGTGATTCTTTGATAAGTGCTCCACCCCACAAACTTAATCCTAGTACTGCCCAACTTTATAAGAAAGAAAAGGACAAATGAGTTGTTAATGAAGTGTCTAAGGTGAGTTCAAAGGTTAAATGTACTAATTATTTAGGTTTCGGTCATATCTCTTTAAATTGCACCTCTAAACCCTTAGTCATCCAAAAATATAAGGATATAAGAAACGAGGAATATTGTAATGTTGAAGTGTATGAGCCTAATCTTGAGGATTTTAGTGACCTAGATGACGAGGATATGTAAGAAGAGGAACCTAACACAATGAGTCCACGTGAGCTTGAGAATGAGTTTAAAAAAGAGTATGATATGTCTCTTTTAATAGTAGAGGAAGTTTTAAAGAACTCTTCAGTGGAATCGCCTATAGAGATAAGTATGGTCTAAGAAGAGTCTCATGATATTAGTCCTTCTAAATTACCCGATTCCCCACCCCACATGCTTGGTGTCTAGCACATTATAAGTTTAGAGCAACATGTTGAGCTTTTTGACCTTTTACCTCATGCACGTGATGAGGAAGATGAAGATAATACTAGTTTACTTGATTGTGTCCATGCCATATCTACATAGATTTTAAACAATGTTTGTCTCATTCCACACTCTTAATCATTCGGTGTTCATAGTTACAAACCTGAAAAGCCTATAGAACACCTTCTCATATCTCCTCACGATAAGATGTCTAAGTCAGCCGAGTCGTTACCATGTAGAGTTCATAATTTATATATTGAGATAATGAAACAAATTCGAGCAAGTAATGAACAATACAAATTTCATGCTGATTTACTTAAGTATCATGATGCACTTAATGTTGAAGATTATTTCATTATACAGATTAGATCTAAATGGTGTCCTTTGAAAACCAATCATAAACTACAAGTAAGTAGTGCTAGACAAAGTGTTGCAAATGATTAAATCAAATAATTATGTCATTAAATTACTATTAAACTTTGATATTAGCTCTACTTTAACATGAAGGATCTCATTATTTATAAAATATAACATACCATCGATGCTCCTTTTGATACCTCCACATCATTATCCATATCTTTGGCATAAAAAAAACATATTAATGCTACTTGGAATGCACAAGTTGTTTTTACTAGGGATGATGAACTTCAGCAAATCTCAATAAATGGGCTCGACGACTAGATGCAGACTATATTTGGATTATCAGAGAGACATCACAACAACTTGATCCTTATCTTAAGAGCATTATCAAAGCTGTCTTGACTTATACTCGACAGGGTCAAGTTCTTTCAATCCCGAGAGAATTGATGTGGACACCAAACTGGAAACATTATTTAAGCACGTGTATGATTATAGATGATAGAGGATAGCCCAAACCATTGAGAAATTGGGCTTTAGCTTATGTTCCTGGGTTTAATTTATTTGAACTTATAGTAAATGTTTATTAATTTGGTTTTATTTGCTGGGTTTAACTTAATTATTGTTAGGTATTTTATTTAGTAGGCCATAAGCCCAAACTCTTGTTCTAGTTAGAATTTTAATATTTATATCATGTTTTTCTAAATGTTAGAGAGTTTTGATGATTAATGAAAATATTACAGACTTTGCATATCTCTAATCTTCCTTCTTCTCATCTTTAGTTTCTTTTTTTTTCTAAAATTTTATTTCTTATCTTGCTTTGATTTTATTATTTATTGTCCCACATCATAACAAATTTATTCTTGATCCGTTAAGTAAAAAAAGTCACATTGAATTTTATTTATTTATTATATTGGTCAATTAATTTTGTATGATTCATCAATTGCGTTTTTAATTTCCATTTCAAATATTAATTTGCATACATTAAAAATAAACAATCTTCATATTTTTTATGTAATTATTAATCTTTTACCTAACCCCAGAGAAATATGGCTAAAAGTTAATAGCATATAAAAGTTAAATTAAAACTTTTGAAGTAATTTTTGATTTAACTAATTAACCAGTATTAATATATAGATTTATTTTTTTATAAAACAACTTTTAAACTATCTTAAAGGATCATAAATAATTTTTTTAATAGTCTTAGGTTATTTAAACTACTCTTAAAATATCATAAGTAGAAATACTAATTAATTTTTTATTTTTTTATAAAAAAATTAAAATGCCCTTAAAGTATCATAAATAATTTTTTCAATAGCTCTGAATCTGTCGACAAAGTCAAATCCAATAATATAGAGTCAGGTGTTCATACCTTAACCCAATATGCGCTAATAGTTTTTAGAATAAAAACTAAAAAGATAATGCTTTATAATCTTTTAAAAATTTATAATGTAATTCACAGTACAAATATTTTATATTTATAATATCATCTATATTATAAACACTTATATACACAATAATAATTTTTCAACATATTTTAAATTGTGTGTGTATATATATATATATATTAAAAGTAAAAAAATTTTAAATTGTGTGTGTATATATATATATTTTAAAAGTAAAAACAAATAATTTTTTATATTAAAAAAATATTTAGAAATATAGTGTAAATTTTATTTCCTTAAATTTTGAATTTTTTATTTAAAATAATTTTTTTATATTTTTATATTTTTTTAATATATTAATATTAAAAATAATTTTTTAAAAATAAAAAAAATTATTTTAATATATTTTTAAATAAAAAATATTTTAAATCATCGTTACTGTCAGAATCACAGGTAGAATCTGTCTCGCACGTGAAAAAAATTCTCTATGCAGGGGGGAAAAAAAAAACCACCATAATACTGAGTGTACACACAAAGATATTCCATTTCCAAATACACGTTCCCTCTCCCTCTCCCTCTCTGTCACTGAACACACCAAAAAAGGCAAAAAGGAGCTACGCGGTTTACAGATTCCTCGTACTATTTATTCTCCCCTTCCAATTTAAGTTTCTTCCAAATTTCACCCTCAGATTATTTACTTTCCTTCAAATCTCTCCCTCCGCCGCCGCCGCCCCGCTTTCTCTCGCTCTCTTCCTCCGTAGTGTATAGTTTTAGTTTCTGTAAATGAATTGAAGATATAATTAATTGAGTTGAATTTTTAGGGTTTTTATAATTATCAAACAGTTAATAGCAGAAAATTAAGGGAAAAAAAGAAAAGAAAAGGGAAATGGAGAATTACGAGCTGGTGAAAGACTTAGGATCTGGTAATTTTGGAGTGGCAAGGCTGATGAGGCACAAACAAACCAGAGAACTGGTTGCCATGAAATACATCGAGCGCGGCCGCAAGGTAAGTAAAACAAAATCAAATAAATAAAAACATTTTTTGTTTTTTATTTTATTTCTAATAACAATTAGAGTGTAAGTGTAATGTTAGCTGCGGCCTAATTGAGATTTGATTTTGGTGATTAGATTGATGAGAATGTGGCAAGAGAGATTATCAATCACAAATCGCTTCGCCATCCTAACATAATTCGGGTTAGAGAGGTTTCTTTTTAAAAAAAAATTAATTTTTTTTTTATTTCGGTGCTTTTTGTTCAAGGATTTTCTATTTTTTTTTGCAGGTGGTGTTGACGCCAACTCATCTTGCTATCGTGATGGAGTATGCTGCTGGAGGAGAGCTGTTCGAGCGGATTTGCAATGCTGGACGATTCAGCGAAGACGAGGTTTTTCTTTTTTTCTTTTTTTTTTTGTTATCAAATAAAAAAAATGCTGAATAAGTTTGATTTTTTATTTATTTTCAGGCGAGGTATTTTTTTCAGCAGCTTATTTGTGGAGTTAGTTACTGCCACTCTATGGTAAAAGCAAAGTATTATAATGTATTTAGGAGTTTCGGTTGCTGATAGAGTTTTGGTTGGTTATTTACTTTAATTTTAATGATTGGCAGCAAATATGCCATAGAGATTTGAAGCTAGAAAATACGTTGTTGGATGGAAGCCCAGCACCGCAGTTGAAAATATGTGATTTTGGTTATTCTAAGGTGGTTTGAGAAAGCCAATTGTTACCATTTTATGTTTTTGTTTTGGTTTATTTGTGGTGTTTGTGAAATTTTTATCTTCTTATCCATGTTATTTGTGTAGTCGTCTTTGCTGCATTCGAGACCCAAATCTACAGTTGGTACTCCAGCTTATATTGCTCCGGAGGTTCTTTCTCGGAGAGAATATGATGGCAAGGTAAGACTTGGACTATTCTTCATGTATTTATTTTCCTCTTAAGTATGGGCAACTTCTTTGATACAACACCACTGCTAGTTCGCCTTCACCTATTAAAGCACTAACACCCAAACCAGGAAAGAACAATAATCTGAGATCATTGGTTGAACAGCTTCTATATTTGTTTGAACTTTTACTTTGATTTAAGTGACAACGGACATATTAGATTGTGGTTGGTGAATTGGAGAAGATTTTATCCTGAAATGCCTTCTCTGCATCCGCTGATAGTTTGCACACAAGCATATATCATAAAAAATTAGCTGTTTGTTCACATTAATGTTTGATCATGTCATCCTCAGGAATGCTCAAGACCATTACAGTTGCATATCAGGAATGCTCAAGACCATTACAGTTGCATTTCTTTTTTGCTTTGCTTCAATTGTTTTCTTTGAAATATCAACAGGACAAATTTGCATGTTAATGATTTGAGGTTTTCATGTTTTGAATGAAACATTGTCGTTCTGTGTAATGCCCTTAGGGAAAAAAACATATATCTGAGTTGGATGGAGTTGACTTTTTGAAGCTGCATATTTTGCTCAGGAATTTGGACTATGTATAAAGGATTGCTGTTAGGGTTCAAGCAGAGAAGAATTTCATGGACATTTGAATGGATTCACCTATTTGGACTTCATATCATTTATCATCAGGATATTTTTGTGTGTGTGTGTGGTATCACCATCTGAAAGTTATGATTTAAATAAGCAGCTTTCCTACAGAGAACATTTTGATTGGTTTACACTCCTCTCTTTGTACTTTGTTATATAGTAAACCAGCTGCTCCTCAGGTTGTAAATTTGAACCTAATCATGTTTAGATTTAAGCTTTGGAGACTTGAGCTATCAGTTCTCAATGAAACTTGTTTCAGCCACTTGCCAATGTTTCGGTTTCTAAAAAAAAAAAAAGTAAAAGCAAAAAAAGAAAAAAAAAAAAAAAAAGAAAAGGGAAATGGAGAATTACGAGCTGGTGAAAGACTTAGGATCTGGTAATTTTGGAGTGGCAAGGCTGATGAGGCACAAACAAACCAGAGAACTGGTTGCCATGAAATACATCGAGCGCGGCCGCAAGGTAAGTAAAACAAAATCAAATAAATAAAAACATTTTTTGTTTTTTATTTTATTTCTAATAACAATTAGAGTGTAAGTGTAATGTTAGCTGCGGCCTAATTGAGATTTGATTTTGGTGATTAGATTGATGAGAATGTGGCAAGAGAGATTATCAATCACAAATCGCTTCGCCATCCTAACATAATTCGGTTTAGAGAGGTTTCTTTTTAAAAAAAAATTAATTTTTTTTTTATTTCGGTGCTTTTTGTTCAAGGATTTTCTATTTTTTTTTGCAGGTGGTGTTGACGCCAACTCATCTTGCTATCGTGATGGAGTATGCTGCTGGAGGAGAGCTGTTCGAGCGGATTTGCAATGCTGGACGATTCAGCGAAGACGAGGTTTTTCTTTTTTTCTTTTTTTTTTTTGTTATCAAATAAAAAAAATGCTGAATAAGTTTGATTTTTTATTTATTTTCAGGCGAGGTATTTTTTTCAGCAGCTTATTTGTGGAGTTAGTTACTGCCACTCTATGGTAAAAGCAAAGTATTATAATGTATTTAGGAGTTTCGGTTGCTGATAGAGTTTTGGTTGGTTATTTACTTTAATTTTAATGATTGGCAGCAAATATGCCATAGAGATTTGAAGCTGGAAAATACGTTGTTGGATGGAAGCCCAGCACCGCAGTTGAAAATATGTGATTTTGGTTATTCTAAGGTGGTTTGAGAAAGCCAATTGTTACCATTTTATGTTTTTGTTTTGGTTTATTTGTGGTGTTTGTGAAATTTTTATCTTCTTATCCATGTTATTTGTGTAGTCATCTTTGCTGCATTCGAGACCCAAATCTACAGTTGGTACTCCAGCTTATATTGCTCCGGAGGTTCTTTCTCGGAGAGAATATGATGGCAAGGTAAGACTTGGACTATTCTTCATGTATTTATTTTCCTCTTAAGTATGGGCAACTTCTTTGATACAACACCACTGCTAGTTCGCCTTCACCTATTAAAGCACTAACACCCAAACCAGGAAAGAACAATAATCTGAGATCATTGGTTGAACAGCTTCTATATTTGTTTGAACTTTTACTTTGATTTAAGTGACAACGGACATATTAGATTGTGGTTGGTGAATTGGAGAAGATTTTATCCTGAAATGCCTTCTCTGCATCCGCTGATAGTTTGCACACAAGCATATATCATAAAAAATTAGCTGTTTGTTCACATTAATGTTTGATCATGTCATCCTCAGGAATGCTCAAGACCATTACAGTTGCATTTCTTTTTTGCTTTGCTTCAATTGTTTTCTTTGAAATATCAACAGGACAAATTTGCATGTTAATGATTTGAGGTTTTCATGTTTTGAATGAAACATTGTCGTTCTGTGTAATGCCCTTAGGGAAAAAAACATATATCTGAGTTGGATGGAGTTGACTTTTTGAAGCTGCATATTTTGCTCAGGAATTTGGACTATGTATAAAGGATTGCTGTTAGGGTTCAAGCAGAGAAGAATTTCATGGACATCTGAATGAATTCACCTATTTGGAACTTCATATCATTTATCATCAGGATATTTGTGTGTGTGTGTGTGGTATCACCATCTGAAAGTTATGATTTAAATAAGCAGCTTTCCTACAGAGAACATTTTGATTGGTTTACACTCCTCTCTTTGTACTTTGTTAAATAGTAAACCAGCTGCTCCTCAGGTTGTAAATTTGAACCTAATCATGTTTAGATTTAAGCTTTGGAGACTTGAGCTATCAGTTCTCAATGAAACTTGTTTCAGCCACTTGCCAATGTTTCGGTTTCTAGCCACAGATGAGTTCAGATGGCTTATTTGTTTGTTAGTTCATCAAAAGAGCCAAACACTGACAGTTGACAGTTGCAAGTAGACTGTGAACCAAATGAAATTGAGATTAAGGCTACAACTGGCAGATCTAATCTTTAGATGGTTTTCTGTGATTTCTTCTATATACACATATCTTCTGAAACTGAATACTCACAGGTACAGGTGAAAAGAAGTGAAGAAAAACCTTAAAAACCTGACCCCCAACCTGTGGTTTCAGGAGAATAAACTGGTCTAAGAGTCTGATTTATTCTGTATTAAATGTCTGAGTATTTTAGGTGAACCAATCTCAAGGAAATTTCAACTTGGTCGTTAAGATGGCTTGATATTTTGTAATTGCCAACAATTTACTTCCAATGACAGCCTTAAAAATCCCCAAACAGATTATGAAATCCCAATCTTAAATGTAAAAGGAAAAGGACCCTAACTGCTCTACGTCCCTAGTCAACCCTTTCCATTTAGAACCCAAAGCTGGATTTTGCTTGCCAATACTCTATGACCTATGCTGCAAGGCTATAGTTATCATCCCTATGGCTTGTCAGAATAGCATGCACCTCTGTGTTTCTCTTGCAGCTTTCAGGTTTCTAGTTGAAGTTGTACTTCTGTCATTTTTTCTCCTCTGTCTTATTTCAATTTCATTTTTACTTTTAGTTGTCGACCATTGTGAAAGGCAAGTTTCAGTATTGTATAAACAATGAAGACTCAGAAAAAAATCGTCTATGTCAATCAGAACTTTGTTTTGTTTCTTCAGTTAAATATTACATGTTTGCATGTGACATGTAGTAAATAAACGTGCTTAAACTTCATCCGTGACCTGGAAAGAACCAAGACATGCAGGTTTAAGATCTGAATATTGAGAAGGTCTTCTTAGCAGGCATGAATATGTCTCACTTCTCAGGTTTGTTATAATTTTCATTTCTGCTTGTCCAGTTGGCGGATGTCTGGTCTTGTGGGGTGACTCTGTATGTTATGCTGGTGGGAGCATATCCGTTCGAAGATCATGAGGACCCAAAGAATTTCAGGAAAACAATCAATGTATTATATTACTTTGCATCTCTCTTCTATTCAAATTATCCTTTATTTTTCACTGTCCATGAATTTTTTGTTGTTTATCTGCAGAGGATAATGGCTGTTCAATACAAGATCCCTGACTATGTCCACATATCTGAAGATTGCAGACATCTCCTCTCTCACATATTTGTTGCAAATCCGTCCCGGGTATGCATGAACAAGCCTTGTCTAAGAACAACAATCAACTTATATTACGTAGGAAACATCGCACTGCTATGCATTGGTAGATGTCCTTTCATTGAGTTACACATCATGAGTTTTATATTGGGAAATCAGTATTTCGTTGGATTTCCTTTTCATGTATTGCTGTTTTGATAGAGTATTTGGATATAAGCCTACTTTTTGTTGCCTTCATTGCTGTTTAGATGTGGTACTTTTAATCTTGTTTCACCCTCTATAACATGTCCACTTACCATCTAATTAATTCTGCTGCATAATTGTTGTTATTGATGCTATTTCTTCTCATCACCTCTGTAGTAGTTTTAAATTTGTTAATCTTTGGCTTTTCTGCTTTTCTTTTTTGTTAGAATTTTGTATCGGAGACCAGGAAGACTGAACTAGGGATTCTTCTTTCAGTGCTTGTTTATGCTTTTATTTTTCCTTTTGTCATATAGTGTGCCATGGGTAATTGCATGCTTTTAGATTTATCAGTCCAAACTTCAGCTAGTAATTTGGAGTGCAACTTTTGTTATTGGATCTTATGAATAGATTTAATACATGCCAATTGTTTAACTAGGGAATTTGGATACATGTTCTTTTGAACATATCAAGAACCCTCATAGCACATGTATGGAATTGTTTCAGATCATAGTTTGTTTTTATGCTGGTACCTGTTCAATAGTTGTAAAGTCACTATGTGTTGTCTCAAGAAACTTGAAATTGTATTCCACACACACTCAGAATGAGAGAAACTAATGGACCCCAAAATAAGTAAATAATCAAGGAAAAGGAATGAATGATTGTTCGGTTGATATGAAAAAAGGATATTGAGGATGCATCATTTTGTGAAGAGAGAAAATAAGCTTCTTCATGAATGATTCAGGGTCCATTGAACCCCTGAGTTCTTGCCTGTGCAAGCTTGTGGATGTCCATTAAGCACTATGAGAAAAAATTGTTTCCCCCTATTGAAAGCTAAGGGTGTAGAAAATCTTTAGAAAACAATGATTGAATTTGTTTATTGATGGAGTTAATTTAAAACCTTTCTTGAGGCCTCAGCTCTCTTTCTATCGGGGATGCAGAAAATTGTAAAAATAATGCTTTTTATGGTTTATTTATAGTCCGTAGATCATGTGTGTTCTTGTTTCTCAACATGTGTCTTAAGTGATGTCTAAATCAGTGATGGTTTCCTTCAGGATGTGCAAATGCAACATAGTAGCTCACAGCCTTTGATCATCCATCGTTATCATTTCATGTTCTGTTTTTATCGCTTTCTTTGTAATGACTGCTGTAACCGAGCATCTACATTTCTAAACCATGCATGTTCTTACAGAGGATCACCATTAAAGAAATTAAGAGCCATCCATGGTTCTTGAAGAACTTGCCAAGGGAACTGACAGAAGCAGCTCAGGCCATGTACTACAGGAGAGAAAATCCCACCTTTTCTCTTCAAAGTGTTGAAGAAATCATGAAGATCGTGGAAGAGGCAAAAATTCCCCCACCAGTATCGAGATCTATTGGAGGCTTTGGCCGGGAAGGAGGAGAAGATGGTGACATGAAGGAAGATGATGCAGAGGCTCATGAAGAAAAAATCGATAACGAGGAAGATGAGTATGAGAAGAGAGTTAAGGAGGCACAAGCAAGTGGGGAGTTTCATGTGAGTTAAGATCCATCCTCTCTTCCTTGCACATTCACGGTCTTAACCTCATCTTTTGGATATTTATAGGATCCTTTTAAGCTTCGTGTAAAACTGTGTGTCAGTGAGCTGGTCCTGAATAAATGTTTGTGAATCGTAGCTTACCGGTTAGGATGGGTGTGAAATTATTGAAATTAGAGTCATCATCGGAGTCATAAACTTTGAATTCTACTGTGTTGAGCAGGAAGGACATCTAGCTGTTTAGATCCTTGAATTAGGAGGAGCTTCTGAAATACCTATCAGAGTTATTTACACAAATTATGGTTTTTGTTTGAAAGGGTTAATATGATTAGTGTGACAAATTACGGGCTTTGTAAGGATGTCTCCTTAAGTATCATGTACATTACTTCTACTAAATATACTAAAAGAACTAAGTTTGGTGGTTACCGTAACTTTTTTTCCCCTTCAGTATGTCTTTTTTTACTGAATCCCGCTTTAGTATAAGCTCCTGCGATGGTTTGAAATTGTGAAAGAAAGACAAAATTAAAAGAGTGATCACCAAAATATAAAATTCCTTCATCCATTTCAATCCTTTTTGTTTTTGGAATTTCATTGTAGTCTAAAAGTTTATTTTATTTATTTTTTGGTTTCTAAGTTTAAGAAAAATGAGGGAAACTCATCATAAAATAACGAAGAAAAGAGAAAATGATGGTTGTATACATTTCGATAATAAAAACTCTAGATCTTGGTGTCATTTCTTAGAGATGTTTGTACTTTATTATCTTGCTTGAAAAAAAATATCGGGGTGAGAGATAATTTTTTCTAGTTTGATTTTATATTTTTAAATAATTTTAAAAGTGTTTTGAGTTAAGAGACTAATTTATTATAATAAAATAATGATTATTAAGTTTTTTTTATGTGAAAATAAGTTGGAAAAATAAATTTTAATATTTGAAAATCCCAAGTCAATTTTCTAATAAGGTAATTAGACAACATTTTCTGCTTTTATTTTAATTAAAAAAAATGAGTGTACAATGTACACCAAAAAAATTAATGGGTACCATATCACCCTTCTTTTACAAAAAAAGAAAAAGAAAAATGAGGCTAGGTACATGGATATAGTGTTACAGGCCCATGTGCATACATTGATATAGTTTTGCCGGCCCACGTGCATAGCATTTTTTGAAATGGGTCAGGTGTGTTTGGGCCATTTCAGCCCATGGTTTATTATGTTTTTTTTTTCAATTAAAATAAATAACTTAAAAACATATTAAAAATAATATATTATAGTATTTTAAAAACGTTGTTGAGTTTTTTGTGCAATATTTTGTGATTTCTTTGGTTTTTTATGAAATTTTTTTATAGATTTTTTACACTTTTTTTTAAATTATTATATGATTAAATAAAAAAATAGTATATTATTCTTATATTTTTTTAATATATTCATGGAATACTAATGAAACAATTCAATTTTTTATTAAATTTTATTTTTATGATTCTATTAATTTTTTGCTTCAATAAATAAACATTTTGATATATAAATTGTCAAAAAAAAAAGAGAGGATAGCATTAAGTTGCCTTTTTAAAAAAAACAATTTCGGTTTTATTAGAGTTTATTGGATATTAATTCTAATCACCTTGGTTTCTATTAAATTAAGTACCTTGTTAAAAAAATAATTTTTTTTTTGTTGAGAAAAATAAACTACACTAACAAATTATTTTTTAAAAAAATTTCAATTATTAATTTTCTTATAAAAAAATCATTGACATAAATGAAATAAAAAAATAAAAATAGCTCTTGGCTCCATGAGATCAGATATCATGATTTGTATTTATTTTTTAGCTTTCATATTTATTTTTTAACTTCTTAATTTAATATTTGATTTGGGTCACTCATTTTAGCCAAGTCATTTGATTTGTGCATCATTTACATCTTAGTTGAAAAATCTAGATTGGCTTGCTAGATTGATTTGAGAATCAGTCTTGGGGTCTTGGGATCATTTTTTTAATTTCTACTAAAAGTTGAAAGTTTGTCTTTACATTGAAAGATAAACCCAGGTCCATTTAGACCTAACTTTCAATCTATTGCTCAAAAAATATTATTTTTATTATTTGTTAAAATAAATTTCAGAATTTGTGATTCAGACCTTGTTATTTAATTCATAGTATCAATTGGCTTATACTATTTGACTGTTATTTATCAAATTCTTGTCGGAGCTTATTAAGTGCTTACATCTCTTTCTAACTAGACTGTATAGTTTCCAAATGCAGCCCTTGTAATTAATGATAGTTTCCAAATGCAGCCCTTGTAATTAAGGATATATTTATTTCTTCAAAAAATAATTTTTAAAAAATTACTTTTCAAATTTTCTTGTGTTTGTTTGATTTTTAAAAAATATTTTTTAAAATTTTTTTTGTGTTTGTTTGACATTAGAAAAATTGGTCAACGAAAAATATTTTTCAGTTAACAAAAAACACTTTCCAGTTAATGGAAAACACTTTCTGGTCAACGAAAAATATTTTTCAGTAAAAAAAAAATTTGACTTGGTTTTCAGGAAAGTATTTTTCTTTTTAACTGTGTTTGTTTTTCGGAAAGTGATTTCTGGAAAAACACTTTCCAAACTTTCTTGTGTTTGTTTTTTAAAAAATAGTTTCTAAAAAATCACTTTTTAAATTTTCTTGTGTTTGTTTGTTATTAAGAAAGTTGCTAAATGGAAAACACCTTCTAGTCAAAGAAAAATTTGGCTTGATTTTCAGAAAAGTGTTTTCCTGAAAAATTTAGGAGGAAAACACTTTCTCGAAGTTATGAAAAATTTAAAAATGTCATTATTTGTTAATTATATCAAATTTAATCCTCAAATTTTTGATTGCTACAAGATTATTTCTTTATATATATATATATATATATATATTATTTTGAAGATTTATTTTTCAATTTCATTTCTTAAAATTTAATTTTTATATTAACTTTGGTCCTTATT